TATATATATATATATTTAATGATCTATTCATTTTATTATTTGATTCACAATCTATCTCTTGTAAATTATATAATGAACTAAATAAATATCGAATATATTTTAAATTTGCATTAATAACAGACATAAATTAAACATTTAAGAATTAAATTATGTAAGAAAAGAAGAAGGAAAAAGGGAGAGAAGAAAATTGTATTTGTGTTGCGCATTAAGAAGGGATAAAGATTCTTTTCCAAAAACAGATCATTTAATAAAAAAATCTAAATTCGTATTAATAATGAGCTAACAATAAGTTTGACGAGTTAAGATATAATAAATATTCAGGAATTTTATTTAATACATGAATAAAAGAGAAAGGCATGTATGTAAAACTGGATGTACATTTACATAGTAGTAACTTTAGACATATATTCGAAAAACAAGATGGCTAGATCATTCATATCGATATATGTACCTATCAATCTAATTGTAAGTACATTAAATATTTAAATTTTCCGATAAGCTTTGAACTGGCGAAATATTACGTTATAAATATCGTTCAGAAAAATTCTGTCGGAACTGGAATTGGGTCACCTGGAAAGAAACGAGAAAGCGGGGTCGAGTATTTGCTTGCCTAGTGAGCATAATAAGAGAAAATGAAGGAGATAATCCGATATGTCGAGCAAAAGAGGGAAAGACGGAAAAAGAAATTATGAGAGATCACCGAGAGAGAAAAGAAATTCAAGAATTCGAGACGAAAAATGCGAATTGTTTGTCGATTTGGAACGGTCAACGGTTTGCTCTTTCAAAAACGAAATGCAACAAATGACGAAAATGACACGCGATCCGGAGAGCGGTCCATTCGGTCGAAGGGAAAGGCAGATCGAAATGACTACGCCAAGTACGCAGATACTGTCAAAGTGTAACTGAATTCTATACTATACTGGAAGAAAATGGAACGGAGAGAAAGGAAAATTGGCTTATATTTTTCTAATAATTTTCTATGCTAGACAGAGAAAAAAATGAGCCAAACTAGCTATCTCTCTTTTTTTCGTGCCCGGCCTTTGACAATATACTAAGACATTCCAGTTTAGTACAGAGTTTACTGCGTCCATTTGAGAATAGCATTACTATTCACTTCATCCATGGGGAATCATGCGGCGCACACGTGGAATAAGCACACGCAAGCGGGATTAACATGGCGACAGAGCGCTCTTACTTGGATACATTAAATATTAAATCATTAAATACTGATAGAAATAGTAGAATTGATATAAGTCAAGATTGATATAAATGTGTAAAAACAAATCAGAAAGATGAAAAATCATATACGAACCGAACTGCAAGTATTTCAAAATTCTCTCCGGAATTTGTTAATAAAAATTGGAACATTTCATTGTGTGAATTCAGTTTATTAATTAAGCTATTAATCCATAAAGTATGCACATTTCCCATAATTATCGTCTGACTCGCACGTCTATTCTTTTACCTCCTTTCTCCGTTTTTCTCGATATAATAAAATATCCTATATACTAAAAATATCGTTATAACTTTTACTTTATATTCCTATTTCGATACTCGGCAATATTTCCTGACAAGCCGTAATTATGCAGCTACGTCATCGAATTTATGCGGCTTCCTGCGAATATGCATCTGAAAACTTTCGACCTTAATGACAAATTCAGTACCATCACGCGTTTCCTGTATAGAAATGAATTTTCTCCCAAAGACTCAAAATTGATTGAATACCTGCCTTTACAGAAAATACTCACGCGTAAAAAAGCTACATATATATAACTACATATAAGAAATGACTGGTTTTGTTTTTGTCTTCAACCTTTTTTGAACTGTATAATTGCAGAATGATCTCTTCACGGCGCAATAAAAGATTGATATGAGTCTTAAGCTAGCGCCAAACTATACGCGTATTCGCAATTCGTGATTCGCGATCCGTGAACGGTATAAAGAAATCTGATTGGTCGAATTCGACGAATCTTCCATCTACATTATTCACGAATTATAAATGAATCGCGAATAATGTATAGTCTGGCGCTAGCTTTACTGGATACAATTATAATTTTGCTAAATTATAATGCTATATAATATAATTTTCTATGTTTCTCAACGTATACACTTAAAGAGAAAATATCACAATGGCTGTAATAAATTCGCATTTTTTATACATATTGCAACAATGACACAGTCAGATTATACGTATTCATGCATATTTAACACTCGCGTGATAGCGCGTGTTTGCTTAAATTATTTCATTCCTGCATAACGAACGTTGTCGTACAGTCGAGAAACGCTGTCTTACAATTTAAAAACAAGTTTAAAATAATCGCGCAGGATAAACGTCAAATTAGACGAAAAAGTTTATTGATATTCATACTAGAAAAAGAATAGAAATACAAGCAACAGAATTGATACTACTCCATCTTCTTATCTCCGTTTCTCTTTAATATAACTATTATTAGATGAGGAGGCATGAAAGAGAGAGAGAGAGAGAGAGAGGAAGAAAAAGGACATAAGAGATATATACTCGCTAGAACAGAAAGAGCAAGAAAAATGCTGAAATAACCGTCGACGGATTCGGAATAGGAATATCCTGAGGAATGGAGTGCTTAGTTCCTAGGCAAGATCAACGATGTCGCGTCGACCGAGTGAGATTGACCGAACACCTGTTACATGGCGGTCGTGATTGGTCGAAGCCGGCGGTGCGTAACAGTCGTAAGGGAAGGCAAGTGCACCGTCAAGCGATGGTCTACAATGGACCGGCAAGAAAAACATGCTCTTTCAGGGCAAAATACTTGGGCCGTGCGAAAATCAAATAAATCAACAATCGTTCATATCAATCAATTGTTCACATTTGATCAATTGTTAATACGCGAAAATAATTCATGCGTCTATTTGCGACGCAATAGACGCTATGCTTATTTTTTGTACACTTTGTAATTTAGGTGATCAAGATCAGACATAGCAACAATTACGGGAATAGTTGTTTGAAATTATTACGTAAAAGTTCTACTTCTTTTAAACAGATAAATGAATAATTCCGATAAGATATTTTTAATTATTTTTCTCATTACTTTATCATCTCATTTAATTAATATATTTTATAATCATACTACTAAATTGTAATTGAGATTTGTATTTGTTTGTATGCATCTTACAAGTTTACAAATGGAAATATTTAAGCGCGCGTGTTAAAATCTCAGAGAGCGAAGTCTATCGGGATTCCAGTATCGTCGAGGAGAGCAAGTTTATAATATCGGACTCTGTACCACCGATACCGCGGCTCACTCGCCACAAGTATGAATATATTATAATATTATGTTATTATTATTATTATTATTAAGATATCATTATCACTTGAAATTGTTTCGTATATTTTACTAAATCACTTTTTATTTTATTAAATCGCTTTTTTATCGCTGTCCTTTTTGTCACTGGAATTGGAGTCTTTTTAATAATAACGTAACGCAAACAGTTGATCAACGTGGCAAAATGAGATTTCACCGGACATCAGTGCCGAATACAATACTAATATATTCGAATGTGATTCTAATAATAGAAATATTCTCGTCTTCAAATTTTTCTGAATTGCAGATTTCAAAAAAGTGTCGCTTTAAATTAAGACATATGCAGATACAGAAATTCTCCAAATATGATACGTAATAAAGACAATACAATTAAAATAAAGAAAATTAATGCAAAAGACTTGTCCGCTTTTCTGCGAGGTAGAAATCCACTTTGGATTCTTTTATGATTAGTAAAAGGATGGAGAACGGATTCACCGTTGCGAGGAACTTTCTCTCAAGCAACGTTCATGTGGTTCTTGTGTCATAACTTTCGAAACACTACAATAAATCTCTTGTGCAAGTACATTTTTTTAAAATACATGGGAGATTAATTTTTACATATATATCCTAATAAGAAGTACACAGTAATATCTGAGTCAAGAAATCTGAAGTCAAGGATTTTACAAAGAATGTTATAAAATATAAGAAAAAATTGTATATATATATATAAATCGAGAGTGTGAGAGTGGTGACAAAAATTTATTCCGACATATATATAATGCAAAAAGAACATTCATATGATTTATCGCTTCTGACGAAACATACGCACACATAATTAAAAATTTTTACAATAATAAATATACATCTATTTATCCTCATAGATTAAATTGTATATATAAATTGATACCATATATTTTTTTACTATATTATTTATTACATCTAAGAAATAATTCTGATATTTATTCCTGCAGGACAAAGAATTATGATTTATTGTTAAAGTTTTTTGTATGTTTACCATTAGTTTTTAAATAAAAAATATGGAAAATAAGTTACACGCTAATTAATCAATTGTATCAATTTCAAATATCACGCAAATTAATTAAATAATTTGATTGCACCCGTGGTTCTCTACAGGAACATTGTGATAAAGAAATACGTACACTCCATAAGGAAGTCAAGGATTCCACAAAGAAGTGCGCAAAGCGCAGTTTCACGAATATCTGGCGCGTTCGAGCGAATAGCAGAACCGCGAGGAAGCGGGTCTCGTTGAAGACGGAAGAGAGAAAAGGCCTGTGAGAGAAACGTGATCGAGAGAGAGCGAGCAAACACATTGTGGTCACTGACCCGTCTGGAACGTTGACTCCATGTAGTCAATCTCTTCTTTATATTTTCCTCCGTTCCCTATTTACACCCGGTCTTACCGCGTAGCATACCTTCGATCACGGAGTTACCTCATCTTATCTCTTGGATTTTTCATACGTTGTCCATTGACTCCATATCTTTATTAGAGGTCTTCCCGAAGAATTTTCTTTTTTTTCCTTTTGTACTTACTATCTTTCATGTTTTCCTTCTACTTTCCCGACAAATATTTTGCTTTTCTTCCGCTGCTCCTTTATTCATAGTGTGTTGACTTCACCTTCATTTATTATTGCTTGTTTTTGATCTTTTTTTAGTTTCTCGTTCTTTTTGATAGATTGAGTAATCTCCTGATGAAAATAAAATGTACGTCATTGTCTATTTCAATGTTTTAAATCGACATCACAAATTTGTTTCATCCAGAATTTAAATAAATTTTCAATATTTTGTGGACAAACATGTTTATATATTCACATACACACTATATATATATATACATATATTACATTAAGAGCGTATATATATATATATACTGGTGTAAATGTATACATATAGTATAGGATACTCATTATAACGATAAATACATTTTTTAGCCATTTCCAATATATATATATATAGTTTGACAAAAAAACTTATAAATAAAAAAATCTCAATAACATTCTAGTAGACAGCAAATTTAAAGAATATTAACATTTAATAAAATATCAATACTTTATCTGTTTAAATAAAAATGTAATTTTGTTTTGTAACATAGAAAGCAATAAAACAAATTTATTGTTTATGTATAAATACAATTTTTTAAATATTAAATCTCAACAAAACGTTCTAAGTGAACTTTTATACATACATACATACATACATATGTATATACGTGTGTTGCACGTATAAATATCTATGTATGTGCAATAAAATAATTACAACTAATTACTTTAACATAACTTAAACAATAGCGCTAAAATTTTTGATAAATTCTATTTTATCATCTTTTTACATATTTATATACTACTAAAAACGAAATAAATTGAAGAAAAATTTATAAATAAAGTAAGTAAGTTTCGGCAATAATTACCTTTCGCTTCTCTAGTTACGATTAATACCGTTATACACGAATACCGTTAGAATCGTAATCATTCCCGCATCGGCAGTCTGGGATTCAAGTCCTATTTACTAACGGTATCCATTTATTCCAAACTGAGGGCTTGCCCTACTTTTACTTTTTTCCTCAACTCTGCAAATTGTTTTTAGCGAAAAGAATTGCCCCATTTTATGATTATTTCATTAATCGTTATTAATGATCAGACAAACCGAAAGTTTTATTTATTATTGATAATAAGAAACGATATTATTTTCTTCCTTTGCATTACTTTGTCATTACATAAGAGCTAAAAGACTATTAAAAAGTCATAAATTATTTAAGAAATTGTGCCTGTTATTTATACTTTTATACGCATGAAAAATAAAAAAATTGCAGAACGAAAGAATGTTATATCCGTAATATACAGAGTGTTTGACCAGAAACACCAAATTATTTATCTTATTTCTGACGATATAAAATTTTAAACATAATGTGAATAGTTTCAAAAGGCAAATATAATTCAAGAAAGAAAATTTTCTTTTCAAGATTGTTTTTTTCCAACTCAGTTTTCAAGATCGCCTGTGATGTAGGCAACCAGTCGCGCGATAGCATTGCATGTGATGTCTGACAATACTATAGTCTCTGATTTTCATTCTTTCTTTTTCTATTGTCTGTTTTTAAATTTTATTTGAAGATATAATAAGAGAGAATAATAAACATCAACATTTCTTTATTACACACACATCCATTTATATAAAATATATATCAATCTTTTAAATAAATGTTACATGTTTATACAATAACACATATTCTCCATAATTTGATTGTGGAAAATGTGTATAAAATACTTTAGCGATTAATTTATATTTGCTTAAGAAGTTAGTTATTTTATTCACAACATTATCAAATGTGATTACATGAGTTGGTAATATAGCATTTTTATTATTAACAAAATTATTATCGAGCCAAAATGTTGGATTTGCAAAAAATTGATCTGCTTCATCCAGATAATCATTAGAATTATCAAAGTTAGGTTCGCAAGTTAGAAATTTTATTGATGTATTTATATGTAAATGACTGTACAAGGGCAAAGCATGGCATGGAGTCAGAATTAACACATTTGTTGATAGAGAATTACTAGCAGAAATTTCATGCCGTAAGAACTCCATTATATTTAATGTGCCACGTTGATGAATCAAGGAAAAATAAAATCCAGGCACAACATTGCTGCATATTAACAATGCTAAAATACTTTTACGGGCAAATGCCGTAATTCTAACGTTTAAACGATGAGTACAAGCGGAACTTACATATATCAACATTGGCAAAAGCGGTAAAATAAATCGAAATTCCTTGTGAGGCAACAAAGAATAGACAAATAATGTCCAGCCAATTACTATGAGCATAATTAATTCTCGATTGAAGTAAATAGAATGTTTAAGTATTCGCCAAACAGCAATCAAAAATGGGATGTAATACAGTCCAAGTATCACGGGTAAACCGACAAAGATATACCATAATGTATGTTCTTTGCCATATATGTCTCCAACACTTCCAAGCACATTCACTTGGAAAAACTTCCAAGGGGTTATTACAAATTTTCCATAACAGTAACTATCTATTAATATGGAAATCAGAAAACAAAATAGACATATTATTGTGTAGCGACCAAATAATGCTATTTTCTTTTCTGCACTTGAACAAATATGATATAAGCATAATGGAAACCATATAATCGCAGCAGTAGGTCTTATCATACAGAGGAAGCCCACAACCCATAAAAATTTTGTACTTTGTACATGGTTATTTTTCCATGGGAATATTGATAACGCTATTGTGGTACAAACAGTTTCTACTGCATTTATCAACGTTCTTGAGGCACAATAGTACCAATACCAATTTGAACACAGAACAAACAACATCCACTTACACTTGGTCCACTTGTAAAATCTATAATCTGCATAAGCAGTGAGAACTGCTTGAAAAACACGTGGCAACATTATTAATAATAATGTGAAGTCTAAAGAAAGTATGGCAAGTATACGATATAGAATCGATATGAAAAATGGATAAATATAACTACGAATCATCATTGTCCATTCCCATGTAAGGTGCCCATAATCAAACGCCAGATAATGAGCTACCTCAAGTGATTGCCAATATTCATCTGGCACATGAGCAGTTTGCACTATGATCACAGAGGTCAACCGCCATAGTAATAAAAGCAATAATATTCTGAATCTTCTTGGTAAATGCATTTTAAGCCAGTAATCTCGCATCCGTACATATAAATGATATCATTTATAGTAAAAAGGTATTTTTAAATTCTCACTCAATGGAATATTCTGAAAAGAGCCGGTTTTATACACTCTAGTATCTAGTACATAATAAATACTGAATGCATGTTTAGATATTCCCATTTTCAATTGTGGCAAATACTTATTATTTAAAAAAGAAAGAAATCAACATTACCGGATAAATTCGCATAAATCAATAATGTGGCTATCTGTAATTGTTCAGGAACAAATCTATTGAAGATAAGATAGATTGGGTGTTCTTCTCTATACGTGGATAATAAATGTAAGATTGAAGTGCAATTCTTCTACTTCTATGGCTTTGTTGGCACCGGTTAAACAGTTTTTATGAAGTCCCGACTTACTGCCATGACTGAGTGTAATTCAATGTTAATGTAAATTTAATCTAATGTTATTTAACGATGTTAAACGTCAAACTAATAACGTGCGGTGATGATGGACAAACTTTCTTTGCGCATGCGCGATGTAGCAGCGGAAGAAGACACATGTTGCATATTTCCTATTATCAATTTGATATATGTCTAATGTTTGATCGATCAAATTCTGCAATAGAGCAGTTTATTTTGTTAGCTTTTATTCTGTCATAATCTTCTTGCAGTTATGGTGAAATTAACGACAGATATTATAGAAAGAAAATATTCTCAAATATTGACTAGTAAATCACTCAGTAAAACAATAAAAAAAGAAGAGTTGCGGAAATTAACTCATTTACATATGAATGACATGTTCATCAGCAGTATTGTAAGCTACATCGAAAGAGAGATTTAATAAATAATATAATTTATTTTTGATAATGTTTTATGTTTATATAGGGCGACCTCGATATTCATAAAAGCTTGCAAGTCATATATCTACAGAATAATAATATATCAAAAATAAAGAATTTACATTTCGCGTGCAATTTGACGCATTTATATTTACAACATAATAATATAATAAAAATAGAAAATTTGGAATCTCTACAGAATCTGCAAAAGCTTTATCTAGGGTATAATAATATCATAATAATTGAAGGATTAGAAAATACAAAACAATTACAAGAATTGCATGTTGAAAATCAAAAAATACCATTTGGTGAATCATTGTGCTTTGAACCACGTAGTGCTTTTGCTTTATCTGTAAGTGCAATCTAGATCTCCAGGATTTTTTAATTATGGAGATTAATATATAATATATATATATATATATATTTAACAAACATAACATGTATATATAAATTTTGTATGTTTTTTCTTTCAGATGTGTCTAAAAGTTCTTAATATTTCTGACAATAAAATTACATCCTTAAAAAACTTAATAGGATTTCAGGAATTAAATATATTGGAGGCAAAAAATAATCTCTTGAATAATATGGATGATTTAACTAGAACAATAAATACCTTATCATCCTTGAAAGATCTGTTCTTGCAAGGCAATCCTGTTACACAGTCTTATAGATACAGGGAAAATCTGATTGCCAACAGCATTTTGTTGGGTAAAATTTTATAAATTTTTTTGCTATTGTCATGTTAATTACACGATTATCATTTTTGTTTTACAAATAGCTAATCTTGATGGAAAAATTGTGACCGATACTTGCCGAAATTTTATGAAAAGATTTAAAATGGAGAAACATAATCGACATGTAAAAAAGGCAATTAAAACTCCATTAGCAAATGATATAACAAGTATGTTAACAATAATTAAGTATGTAATCTTTTATTTCGATAGCAGCAGTAATAGACAGAAAATTTGTAGGTTCTCTGAACTTGCCACCAGCTTTCAAAAGATCTATATCAAGAGCAATTTTTCAAGATCCTGGATCACAATTATCTATAAAGATTACTCCTGAATCAATAGGAAGCCAACACGTGTTTCCTCCTTGGAAATCAATAAAAAAAAGACAGAAATGATTATTATCATTTCACTCTCTATATATAAATAGCATATTTTTGCATACAGTATTAGCATCAGAAATATCAAGGATAATCATATAGCCAGGCAATTCTAGAGTAATATAACTAAAGCAAGGGGACACAATTTATCATCAATGAAAAAATCGCATTACCACTTACTTCTTTTTGTCGATCAAATCATGAAATAGATGTTTCAAAAGAGACCTTATAAATTAAAAAACAGTTATTCTGTAGATATGTAAATAAAACAAAGTATTTAAATGTGTCAAAATATTATCTCTAGGACAAAACAATTTTACAAAAATATAAGTAATACACTGTACCACAATATACAAGTAAATTAATTATGTAGCAAATATACTTTACCATTATTTATTATCTCTATTCTTTGTTTAAAACTTTTTTTTAAAAGATTCTATTTTTCTCCTTTTATATATATGTGCATGTGCATAAGTGCGTGGACATGTAATATACAAGCATTAATTACTAATTGTAATTCGAAAATACGCGAAATAACTAATAATTGCTTCCTCCTTAAATTGGGAACTTGTCCATTAAATAAATGAATATAATCTTGATTCATTCTGAACTTCTATCCAAAAAATTGTTACACGAAGAAGTATTGCTCTCTTTAATACATATTTTACATATAAAAAAAGTTGTATAAAAAGTGTTGCTTGAATATATATTTCATATATTCAATTGAAAAAAATTATGCATATAAGATTTAATTCTTTCATGACATTTTATAATATTGTTATGTCCAATAAAATGCAATATGTATTAATGCAATATTATGTATTTTACTTATATATTTGTGTGTTGTATGAGACTTTATATATTATAAAATTTAATTCTTTTATTATGTTTTTTTTCTAATTTTTGTAGCAATTAAAGAAAGTAACAAAAACGTTTCTACATCATATATAAAGTTATGACTATACACATATCTGGCAAGCCACTTGTGACATGAAGGTTGCACATTACAAATATACAAATATACATTAATATTGATAAAAATATTTATTTGGAAAAGTATCATAGTTATCGGAGTCCCGCTTTGCAATTATTTAAAATGTCACAGTAATGCAATGATACAATTTAATTGTATACATGTAATTAAATGTTAAAATATTCAGTAAAATTGTCCGTTGTACCAGGTACTGAATAAAATATCTTCTTAAATCTTAAGATTTTTAAACTTTCATCATCTTCATATCAAATTCATTTAATATAGCAGATATAAGATAAATAACTACTTATATGTGCTTTGGTTTAAACTTTGGTAATATATTTGGTAACTATATACCACCAGGATTTCATTCATCTTTCTGACAATATATGAAAGGTAAAATGTAATATCTCCAAGCTTAAGTCAATTAAACATAATAGATAATGCTTATTAGCTTTTATATCCATTTGGATTATTTTGTTGCCATTTCCATGTATCTAAGCCTGAAGAAAAATCAATATACTTTTAATTTCAGAACATTATAATGAATATTTTATAGGACTGCACAGAAACTATTCTATATAACTGTTAATTTAACGCCAAATTATGCGCGTCGTGATTCGTGAATAATATAAAGAAATCTGATTGATCAAATTTGACAAATCTTCCACCCGTACTTTTCACGAATTATAAACGAATCAGAAATACGTGCATAGTCTGACACTAGTATTACATTGCTACTAATTTATAATACTAATTTATTATAGTAATTATTATATCTTACACATGTCATCCATATTTTTTGTTGCAACCCAATTCAATTCTTTATTCGCGATACTAGCATCCGCATAACTAACAGATATGTCACCTGGCCTACGTTCAACTATTTTGTACGGGATTTTCTTTCCAGATGCTTTTTCAAATGCATGTATAACTTCAAGCACAGAATAGCCTTTTCCAGTACCGAGATTTATCGGCTTAAATCCTCTTAGATTATGAGTTTTTTGATAAATTATGGCTTTCACATGTCCTATTGCTAGATCCATAATATGAATATAGTCACGCACACCTGCAAATGTGTTATTGGAAAAAAGATTTTAACTATAATTGTCTCTATACTTGTCTTTCTTTTGAATATTTTTCTTTCTATGATATATACTCTTGCATATAGTATGCATTTCTATTAAGATATTTATTTCTAATTAAATTTCTCCAATCAGAAATATATTGAACTTTTACCTGTGCCATCAGGTGTATCATAATCATTACCATAAACATATAATGTGTCCCTTTTTCCAACAGAGACTTGTGCGATATAAGGCATTAAATTATTTGGTATTCCATTAGGATCTTCTCCAATTTGACCTGAGGGATGTGCGCCAACAGGATTAAAATATCTCAAAGATATAACAGAAAATTCCTGTAAGCAATACTTCTTATTAAAATGGATTACAAAGTAATATATTATAATATATATACCTTGTCTGATATACACAAATCCTTTAATATTTCTTCAACCATAAACTTTGTCTTCCCATAAGGATTTGTGCAATTGCCAGTTTTCATATCTTCCATTAAAGGAAGTTGCTGAGGTACACCATAAACTGTAGCACTGCTTGAATAAATAAAATGTTTTATATTGTTCTCTCGCATAACTTCTAATAAATTTATTGTTCCACTGACATTAGTCTTATAGTACTCGAGTGGTTTTTGACATGATTCACTAACTGCCTTCAATGCAGCAAAGTGTATAACACTATGAAAAGTATACTGCAATAAAATTGTAATATTTTTAGTTTGAATCTCATGTATTGTCAGCAAATATCAACTGTACAATATCAGCTATCAGAGTCAATAAATATACTTTACCTTCTGAAATACATTTCTTAAATCATTAATGTTTGTGATGTCACAGTTGATAAATGGAATATTCTTATTTATCATTTTTTCTATTCTAAGGAGGCATTCTGGTTTCTCAGAATTTAAGTCTGTGGATATGAAAAGGATAACTTGAAAAATCTGTAAAACTTTTATATATGCAAAAATATATTGTGTGAAAAGACATTATCAAGTTATTAGAAATAATTGTTAAAATTTAAACTTCTAGATATTTTTAGTACATTCCTGGTAGAAAATATGTTAAAATTAAATGTGGAAAATAATTTTAATGTATACCATTGTTTATATATTATTTAATTCAATAGATTACAATATATCATTGTTTCAATTTTATCAAATGACTTCTTATACCTCACCTTTATATGCATTGCTACAGTTATCAATTACTACCACCTGAAGGTCTCCTTGTAATAATTCCAAAACTGTATGAGAACCAATATACCCAGCACCTCCCGTCACCAAAACATTCCAAGATTTGCTTGCCATTATTTAGTGCGCAATACTCTGTTATAAGTATGTATATATATACATATGTATATAAATTAATATATATATATACACACACACATGCATCTTCTATAAATCTATATATCTTATATTTTATATATATATATTTTATGTACTTATATAGCTTTACAATTCTAAATATTTATTTCAAAGTTATATAAGAGAAAGTACAATTTAATATATACAATATTATTAAATGCATCTCTAATAAGTTATAATATAATAAATACACATTTACTATAATATGCAATAAAAAAAATTATGTAACTGACATTAATCATTCTTATGGCATAAAAAATTATATTTTTAAGAGCTAGTCAAATAGAAAGAAAAAGAGAGAGAGAGAGAGAGAGAATAATATATTATATATATTCAATATATTTACAGAATATAATCGTATAAGCTGTTTTTATACCAGCTAAGTTTTACAAAAATCAGTGGCAGTGCAGTTCAATTGACAACCTCACCCTGTGATAACAGAGGATATACTGACCTTAACGCGACTCAAGGATGACAGATAACGATACATGTATCATGATGGAGTTATATAACATTGACACATCATCATTGGCATACGCTGCGATCGGCGAGCACAATAACATATCATCTTACGCTGAAGAATCATTGTTACGAGTCACGAGTTCGATCGAAAAGATCGCGTGAAGTTTGTCAATCCAATAATTTCGTTCGATTCCCATAATCTACGTTCCCTTCATCTACAATATACCGGATGCAATTTATAACGGCAACGACGTGACGATAACCAGATATTTAGGTCATGTAAATTTCTCTCGTTTCTCTATGTTGAAGGTCACTTCGAGCAAGCTTCGATTAATTTGATTAACTTGCATAATGACCAATGCAAAATTTTTATTATATGTAAATATACATAAATTTTGATGTTAATGGCCTTGTAAATTAATCAACGATAAATTAATTAGAATGATCGAAAAGGCTCTAGTTCCTCTTTTTATCAAAGTGGTTTGTTTAAGGCATCGAGTATATATATATATATATATTGCCACAAGTCTATATATTACTACACTACTAATTCCTTAAATTTCTTGTTTATATAAAAATGACCACGATTTTATGTACGTATACTAAGGTGACAATTTCTGCACATGCGTCAAACCAACCTTAAATATAGTCAATACATGTGATTCTAACCTTCTTTTTTACTCTGATTCTATGTGACACGTGTTATACAGATTATATAGTGAGAAAAGTGAAGAATTATATAATAAATAAAAATTATATAATGTATATAAAATAATGCCAAATAAATATGCTACTGTTGGGTGCCAAAGCATAATTTAAAATATTTTTAAGTAAGCATTATACAGAGAGCATTATGTTAAAAAAAAAAAAAAAAAAAAAAAGTAATATCGCTATAGTTTCTGCATTAAAGCCCGTATTAGACAACGCACTGAAAATTGAAGATTGGAATTTGACTAATCAGAGCAAAAGGAACTAAAATTTCTTTATCCTGATTGGTCAAATTTCAATCTTCAATCTTCGATCTCAATTTTCAATGCGTAGTCTGATACGGGCTTAAGACCTTCCTATTTTATCGGAGTCGCAGCGCCATCTAGCGGAGAAAATGCGCACAAATAGGGCGTATATACTTGTCGATTGCGTCATGGGAGAAATTCTGCTTTTCCTAGTCGCCACTAATCGTCGTCAGCTATGACAGCGGTCGCATAAGAATATCGAATCGAAGGCAGTGCCGTAGCGGTATTCGATAAAGTAACGTTGTCGAGTGTACCGTTGTCTTCTTACAGTTACGTGTAGTTTAGAATTCTACGGGAGGAGCGAAAGGAAACGAAGGTAATTTCGGGGCGGCGTCCGCGTCATTCTCGCGAAACACAATTTCTTCGCTGCGCACTCGATGGACTATTTGAAAATGGCGCGGGTAATGAGGGCCGTGGCCCCTGCGTTTGGCGTCGTTTTGTGATACTGTAATACAATTATCTGGCTTATCTGCCGTTCATCTCGTTGGCACGAGAGAGAAAGAGAAAGAAAGTTGTTTACGCGTGCCCGCTACTACGAGTGCGAATAGCTGGTGTGTGCCCGTTTTCTATTCGGTTTAATTTCGAGAAACAAGAATCTCGGTCGCGGAGAACCAAGCCCTAATTACTCTCCGCCGGACTCTCTATATTGGTCGTCCGTATCATTGTTCGCCGCGCTTCTTCTTCGCATTGGTACGTCGTATACGGAGGCTGTATCCGCGTCCTACAGGTAAGTGTGTCATCTTCCGATATCGCCGACTGTCCTGCGGAGATCGAGGTTTTGTCGCCTCCATGGTCGCTTGATTGCGGTGTTTCCCGTATCGTAATGGACGACCTGTCGTCCTCGCGATCAATGATTTTCGATTATATCGGTACGATCGGGTCGTAGTCGAAACAATTGAAAAAATTGACGACGTTCGTTTGAATGAAGTTCGAAAATACAGGTACTTTCGACGATGTAAAATTTAACTTTGAGAAAAATGATTTCTCGCATTATATATATATATAACTATAAAACACACCTGTATGAAATGAATGAAATGTATGTATGTAAACATGTAAAGCATGAATAAAGCCAAGTATACTTATAAGGTGTTTCCGGAAAGAGGCGATAAATTTAAAATCCGTTACAGCACAGAACATTCCAAAATATTGCTGCAATGTTGCTGCAAGAGATTGCAGTAATATTAAAATTGCTACCTTCACACAGTAACATTGCAATGTAACATACCTATAATAATGTTATGTATTACTATAAACGTATTTATAATAATACAGTGTGTATAAAGATATATTTCTCTCTCTCTCTCTCTTTTTCATATTAATTTGACACGATTCCTAAATCGGCTTACATATCTGTAATTAAATATTTGTAACTACAGATGTATAAATCAGTTTAAGAAATGTGTAAATTTTAAGATGGAAGACATCTGTAAATACTGTATTATTATAAATACGTTTGCAATAATACATAGCATTATTACAGATATGTCACATTGTCATATATATATGATGACAAAAACATTTGGTGATCCGTAATAACGTAATTAAATAAATAATAAAATAATTAAAGTTAAATAATTTATTTCGTAAAATTCCATATTTTTTTATGGATTTTTAATGGATTTTTTTATTAGATATTTAATAGACATTTTTACACAGACAATTTTTAAGTAGACAACAAATAGTGGAGAGAAAATTCGTCACATTTGCATTCATGATTTGCCATTCGCACTGATTCGCCAGCGGAGCGGTTTTTCAACGAAATAAAAGGGTGCGAATCACTACGAATCAGTTCATTCGTGTTGATTTGGATATAGCGTTACACTACGCGTGCAGATTCGTAGTTTGTATGTTTCCATGACTCATGTTGGAAGGTAAAAAAGTCAAATAAAAATATCATTCATAATTTATCGAAATTATACAGAATCGCTTATTCATTTTCTTGTTGAAATATTACGATAAATTATGTTCACTATAAATGGCAAATGACAATTCACGAATGATTAACTACGAATTGCGAATAATGTGGAGAATCTACAATAGCGAATGACGAATTTTCGTCAATTATTCCGAATCACGAATTGCGAATCGAGGATATGCGCATAGTCTGGCGCCAGGATAACAAGGTCATGCGATGCAGTAAGCGTCAGTAATAAAACAGAAAAATAAAATTTAAAATCATAGAGTTTTATAATTTTAATTTACAGAAATCGAGCAAAAAAGTTCAACAAGATCAAAAACCGATGGTTTAAGGCCTTAAGGAGACATCGCCGGATACGGATTGTTTAACAAAAGTTACTTCATTTAATGACGTACCACTTCTTTAAATTTATTGTCACTTTCCAGAAACACCCTGTATATGCATCTGACCATGTAAATTGATACTTCGAAGCCTTTGATTCACATTCAGATGTCGTACATTAAAGAGGAAAATCTCTTGCTTTATATTGTTTGTAATTGATAGTCATATGTTATGACACAAGCACGCTTTTTTTTAAAATGAAATTTATTTTTGAATCCCGCACTTGATTTTAAACTATTTAAATAGTTCAACGAATCTCAGGCTACTGCAACGCATTCAATGTAAAAGCCTTTGAACAAAATGCAGATTCGATAACTGCGTTTATTAAGGAGGGAGCGCTAAAAAATGGGGTGCGAAAACTATTGTGAGCGTGCAAGTCGGCGGTGCACACATGTTGTCGGGATGTATTGATCTGATCGAAAATTTCATAGAGTCTGAAAACATAGTTATATACATTTTTTAAGCGAGAATAATTATATTGATACTGGTATGAATTTTGACAAATACTCATTTATAGTCCATGTACGAAGAACCTCATTACTTGATTAATTGCGTTGTTGTTTTTACATCACCGAACCGTCACGCCATGCGTATTGTTTACATATATATGAGTAACGCACGTATAACAGTCACGCAATATGACAAAAAGAAGAATGGGTTACATGAGAGGTGTTGTATATGACCGAATAGGTATCGAGCGTCAATAGTATGAATCGATTACGGGGATATCCCGTGTATATACCGGGTGTTTCAGAAGGAACAATATACGTGAGTATAAAAGTGTGACGCGACGACGTACGAAGTGTGACGCGACGACGTACGAAGACTATATAAATTTTTCAAATTTTTATCGAAAATTTCACATTTGCAACATACTTTTTATAAAGATTCTAAAATTTTAAAAATATTCTAAAATTTTACTCAAAGATTATTGTTTTACGTCGAAAAAGCAATTATAAGCTTCATTCAATCTTTAATTTCAATTTAAGCTTAAATCATTGCTATTTTGTTTGGAATAAATCTATGTGTATTGCTTGAATGCTAAACCGTGAAAGCTTGTTCTGATATTTTCGATGCGAAATTATATTTGATTGCGATCACCGTTACGTTCAAATTTTTTCAAAGAAAGGTAGAAAAAAAGAAAGCCAAGTCTACATGCCTATTCCAAAAACTGATGTACAGAGAATATTGTTTTAATATATATTTTACTCATCCACACAAAATAATTATACACGAAAGTATTGTGTTTCAATACTTCAAATTATATTTTATTACTTAAATTTATTTTTTTTTTTTTTAAATGCTGATATCAGAAAAGTGCGTCAATTAGGAGCTTATACACTTAATAACTTGTATGCACTATATGACTATATAATTTAATTTTTGTATTATATATATTATATTTTAACATTAAAATTATTATATTAAATATAACGTATGATCTATATTTATAACAATTGTGTATTTAACTAAAGTATTTGTATATATATTTTTTAATATAATTATGATATGTACACAACTTGCATATATACATATACACATACCTGCAAGATACATTTTCAGTAATGCTACGAAATCATAGTTTTATAATGTACATCGTCTTTTTTCCTCTTTCATGTGCATTTAAACTGTGAAATTGCAGACCAGTCTTTTTCCGTTTTCAGTTCATTTTTAGATTTGAAACACAATGAGACATGTGAACGTCTTAAAATTTTGAAAACACGGTTACTTGATAAAAGTGAATAATTATTCATTAAATACGCGACTTTCACATTGTGCGAATCGCAATTAACAACTGCAATTGTCGAAATGTACAATTCACTGAATCCTTGTATTATTCTGTGAGGAGAGATCTAGATCTACTGAAACGCGAATTTAATATAATTCGCGTTACAATTTTTTAGCATTAAACATGATCTTTTTTTTTTCAGTTATACGGTAAAAATTTAATTTTACACTTTGATTGACAATTTTAATTGCGGAAATATTGTGCGCGTATATTTTCAAGTACATGATGGTGTTAGAATACAAATATATAATTTAATAAATTTATAAATTATTAAGCTCTTCTTTATATTTGGCATCTTTGATTTCTTTATTTTATTAATCTTATGATGTTCTTCTAAAATCCTTCAAATAACATGGTTTTAAATAGTAGTTTTGATCTATTAATATGCCTCGTTAAAGATGTTATGTTATGAGTTTAATTGATCATGTAGCTATGTCACAAGCATCTGTAATGGAAATAGCGACAATGAGATATCTGATCAAGCTCAGTACTTGGAAAATAAACGTAGATAGGCGTGGTTTACTATGTGGCATTGCTTACAATTAGCAGTGACTGGTATGATTTGCAATGAACTTGGATAAGCTGGATGTTAATTTTTGCGCACAGTTGTGTTTTTTTTCTATCAGCATATTTCTCTTCCGCCATGATCTTTTATGCTAAATTAACCTTTCGCGCTCTATCTCCATGTTCTATTTCGAAATCATCTCTCAAAATCATTTGAATTGAATTAAACCAAAAAAATTCTAACTTGGATAGGAAAAAATATATTAAAAAATGATACTAATTCTAATTATGATTTGTAAACATCTCAAGTTTTATTTTGCATTTTTATTTCTGTGCACTTTGTGCATTGTGATATTCATTGAAATTTTGTGGTATCTTCCATTGTGATGCAGGACAAAACACGTTCTCCATAATAATGACTCTTGTAGCTCTGGTCGAATGTCGATACAATACACACAGAAACGCCCTCGTAATTATTATAAATTACGCACGTACATCTCCTCGGCGTGAATCACGCGTGCTTGTGCATGACGTAATCAAAGTATATTGTATTTTATGCGTTTGCTCTTGCTAGCATATGCATTTATTTTTTATATGAGAACAGGCAGATTATAACGTCGAAATAAATAAAATCTAATTTATTTCAAAACTTATTGTTAGAATACGTGCGCGCGATCGTCGCTGTTGCCGTTGCTGTTGCCGTGGTCGTCGCTGCCGTGTCATTTCGCGACCAGTAATCACCAGTATTATCTCATCAGTCCAGTAAAGAACATGCGTAAAGGCCGCCCACTTCCAGTGATGATGACACTTTCCAAATTCGTACGTCTGAACTTTGTTCTGTCTGGACATCCATTATTTTTGTACCATTGGTTAAACACAGAAGTTAAGGATATTTTGGCTGTACAATAGAAGCAAAAAACTGTTAAAATTAACAAAAAAAAGATATTTCTTACGTTTATATTGTTTGAAAAATCAAATAAATAAATCCGGATTATAAAAAGAATTAAAGTAATCACAAAATAATATGGTTTTTGTCGTTTTCATAAAAGAATATTTTTCCTAATTTATGACAAAAATGTTTGATCATGAATACCTTCTGGATACAACTGCAAGAAACAAAAAAAAAAAAACGAATAATTTGCAAAAACAGAAAGAGAGATAGATAATATCTTTCTATAATTTTTAGTAAATAATTTTTAAACGAGTAAGTGGATCTAAATCAAGTTTTGCACAAATATTTATTAGAGTTTTCTTAATATATGTGAAAATTTTTGTTTCGCTGTGGCAATGTTTTTTCCTTGTCAAATTTGTCAATAAGTGCTATAATACGCGATTTTTTATAAGAATTAATAGTAACTTTAAATTTAAATAATTTCCAAACCGTTAAGAGAATTGTGCTTAGGTTTTGCACAGATATTCAGAAGAAATAATAGAACAGTCTACGAAATTTTCATGCTTTTATTAATGTTTCGGCATATGACACATATATCCCTAAGACAAGAATGACTAATATGAAAAAAATGAAAAAAGAATAAAATATTAAAATTATATTAGCTATAATCAAAAAATTTCTTTTGAGGAGTGAAAGTCTTAATAATATAGGTATATTATTATACTTAATTTTGATTGTAGTGAAACTTCTCCAACACTTTGCATACCGTAGCTATATTACTCTTAAAATATGTTAAATTATATTAATTATACGTTAAAATACGTTAAATTGCTTTTTTGCGATTTTAATCGCAAATTTCTTAAAATTGTAATGGAGCAGTTTGGAAGTCATATTCAGCATCAAAAAGACTACGGGAAATGCAGTTAGTTTTTCTCTTGTGTTTTTTTAACTATATTATCAGCGTGTGTATTTACCGAAGCAAATTATAAACATGTTTAAAATTAAACTCATTAAAATTACTAATAAGATGTTTTTTTACCCCAAGTAAAATATTTTCATTTGTATACTTATCGTTAGTATTTTTTCTTGTTGCTTAAGAGCTTATTAATCCCGTCGACTCAATCGCCAAATCGGTGTAGAATAAAAAATGTCGAGCTGTTATTTTATCTAATCAAGGAGAGGCTTATGTCCTGATCATCAATACTTTCAATCTCGTTGCATGTTTCGAAAGTGTGCGAATTCCAGCAAGCCGTATTCTTAAGAGCACGTTAATCTTGCAAATGCGAATGTGTGTGTCCTTAAAAGTGCATTGTGAGATCTCCGGAATGTTAACGACTATCGTTTCATGCACTGATAGCACTGATTCAGCAGCAATTGTAACTAATAGCGAATTCAATAGGGATGTTCTAGTACGCACTGATGCACATTTTTGAAGGCTATCGCATACAAATTTATTAATTTCGAATTGCAGGCTTCTTAAGATATTAGTAATGAATTTTGTAAATTTGCTATATTATCATTATTATAATATTGCAATTAATGTAAACTGCAAATAAATCATTTTAATTAAAATAAATATACAAAATGTGATCTCCCCTTGACCAATAATACTTGCCTCACAGCCATCTCATCGATAGTTGGATACGTTTAAATATTTTGGCGTATTTTAAATCATTTTAAAGCCCTAAACAATACAGGAGAACTTGTAAATTGAGAATTGAAATAGTATAAATAGTGCTCTTGAAATGTTCTAATAAGAAAAAATGGATTGCAATTGAAAGAGCAAATATCTTAAGAAGTCTGTAATTTGGAATGAATGAAAAAAAATTATAAAAATAAAAAAATGAAAGCTTTTCTGAATGCCTGAATGAACTTTTTTTATTCTTATAATCAGTAGAGTACACTACTAAAGTTTGGTCAGACTGTTCATAAATCTTTTTATTCACCCTGTTTATTATTTTGTCCTTTTATTCGTTATGAAGTTCAAGAATACGCATCCTATTTATAGTTCAATGAATCTCCAATCAAAAACTATATATATCTTCATTCTTCATTCTTCATTAATAATAAAATCATAATCGGCATATGCGCTGCGTGACAAGCGTACATTTGAAGAACCCTCACGAAATATTGATTATTTCTCCGTGTGGCACCAGGTTTAGATGCGATTTATATAGCGAGATATCGTGTTGACACGAGACCTTCTTTATTCTGGCGATATTACCGAAAGATTGTAGAAAAGTATTAAGATAAGTCTCTGGTTATACCTAAAGCCTTTTCCTTCAGTATATAGTAATTTTATAGCTAAATATACATATGTATATTTTGATATTTTGGAACATAGAAATAAAGGGAGCTAAAGATTGCTGCTTTCATGATTCAGAATAATTTCCTTATCGACGAATATAATTTATATATTCTTTCGCGGTTGTTTTACTATTATGGAGAAAAAATAATGTGTTTAATTTTAGATATAAAATCGGATATAAAATAAAGCGGAAATATGCCGGAAGAGCAAAAGACTACTGATGCTCCGACCGAAGCAATGGCGGAAAATGGAACCGGTACAAACTCGCCCACCAAGAGCCCGGTTAGCAAAGGAAAAATGGCTCTTGCCAAAATTACCCTTCTAGACGGTACTGTACGGGATTACTACATCGATGTGAGTGTGCAAAAGTTTTGATCATGTTTATTATATGTATATAAATGAAAAAAATTATATTCTGTTTATTTGATGTTAATGTTAGATATATTGGATTTATTGCAGAGAAAGGCGAGAGGCCAAGAACTTCTCGATATGATTTGTCAAAGCATGAATTTACTGGAGAAAGATTATTTTGGTCTTATTTACGAAGACAGACACGATTCTCGCAATTGGTTGGATCTTTATAAGAGAATTATAAAATTTATAAAAAGTATGAAAACTCAAACAAAAAAAATCATTATTGATATAATGATAGATAATAATATGTGGGAGTATTTCCTCTAAAGTTAATGTATGATTTTAGCTGAACCATGGAAGTTTAATTTTGAAGTGAAATTTTACCCACCAGACCCAGCTCAATTGCAAGAAGATATTACGCGTTATCAACTGTGTCTACAAATCAGAAACGATATTATTACAGGTCGTCTACTTTGTTCTTTTGTGACACATGCTCTCTTAGGCTCCTATCTGGTTCAGTCAGAAATTGGAGATTATGATCCTGAAGAACATGGAAGAACATATTTGAAAGATTTTAAGTTTGCACCTAACCAAACGCCTGAATTAATCGAGAAAGTGATGGATCTCCATAAAACACATAAGTTAGTTTCGTTTTTGTATAAACAACTGTGTTTCAATTTGTAGGATGAGGAAACATAGCATAATAGTTATTGTTTAATTAAATAGTAATTTTTTGGCTATGTTACAGAGGTCAAACACCCGCCGAAGCGGAACTCCATTATCTCGAAAATGCGAAAAAATTAGCTATGTATGGCGTAGATCTTCATCCCGCAAAAGATTCGGAAGGTGTTGATATAATGTTAGGTGTATGCGCTTCAGGCCTTCTTGTTTATAGAGATTGTTTAAGAATTAATAGATTTGCCTGGCCAAAGATATTAAAAATATCTTACAAAAGACATAATTTCTACATTAAAATTAGACCAGGTGACTTTGAACAGTTTGAATCTACAATTGGATTCAAATTGGCAAATCACAGAGCAGCAAAAAAATTATGGAAAGTGTGTGTGGAGCATCATACTTTCTTCAGGTAAGTAATAATTGTAAGTAGCATTTTTTTAAATTCATGGCACACATTTTAATCAAATGAGAAATTTTTATTTTTATAGACTTATGAGTCCAGAGCCTGTGAAGAAAGTGGGATTAATTCCATATCTGGGATCTCGTTTTCGATATTCTGGAAGAACTCATTACGAAACGAAGAAAACCCCTATTGATAGACAACCTCCGCAATTCGAGAGGACTTTGAGTGGCCGACGCCTCGCATCTAGAAGCATGGATGGTAAATAAAATTTTTATCACTTGCAAATAATGATTTAGTAGAAACTTTAATTGCTGCAATTCATATTATATGTTTATTCAGATACATGTCTGATTTAAAAGTTTTCCACTAGGGCATACACAAGCTTGCATAAGCATGAGTTTTTTCAAAATATTTATTATAAACCACAAGTGCCTTTTTATAATTATATCCTTAAATCTATCTGCAATACTGAGATGTTGAAGTAGTGTGACTGCCTTGTATAGCATTAGGTGGGCCTAAATCAGTTGAAACATATGGTTCCGAACCAAGCAAACGGCATACTATGAGCTATGAGCCTGAGACACTTCCTGATGATATAGAACATATAGACCGACGGCCTAGCCCAATAAAGAAACAAAAAGAGAAGGTAATATATTTATACGTTTGTATTAGAGAGAGAGGGAGATAAAAATTCTTTTTATATTTAAAAAATTGCTAGAATGTAGAGTACGCATAAATTTCAACATGTGAATGTGAAAATGACTCGCAGCAAAATTTATAAACGATATGCGCTGTAATTTTGAAATGTTCGCGCTTTCAAATTAAATATTTAATTATTAAAAAACAATACCATTAATACATAAAAAAATTTACGCGATATAATGTACAAATTTCATAAATTAAGAGCGCAACAACATTTATACAATATTCTTGCAAAAGTTTCTATCAGAAAAGTAATAAAACAACAATTGTGCCTTACGTTCTCCATTGATGTATAAGTGAGTCAATAGAGATTGATCCAAAGCATTATCCAGGATTAATGATAAGGACATGACGCGTATTTGATCCCTTTGAAGCGCTTGATGAGCCTTCTTATTTCTCACGTTCGGGGTGCTTGATTGCCGTGAATTCCTTTGCCTTTTACGTTCGGAGTGTTTGATTACCGTGAGTCCCCTTGTCTCTCACGTTCGTAGTGCTTGATTACCGTGAGTTCCCTCATCTCTCACGTGTGTGTATGTCTAATATAATGATAACGTTTACAGTTTTGCATAAAAAAATAAAAATGAGGCTAATAATACGCGATGAAACTGTTCTTTGAACATTTCAGCATGTATTCAACAGATGAAAAAGAAATAAAAAGAATTAAGAAATTTGTTTTTGTATCCAATATTTTCGATTGGTTTCGGATTAAATTTTTTATTTGTTTTATTTGTTTGGATTACGTAAATCTTGAGCAATTCTTTTCCAATCAAACGCATACACACATGTGCACGCTTACTAGACGAACGGACGGACAGAGACTAACAACCATGTGAGAAGTAAGAAGACTCACATTAATAATCAAGCATTCCAAAGGGATAACTCACGTTCTCATCGTAGATCGTGGGTAATGCTAAGAATGGGAATTTACATACATCTACATCTATAGTTATCCACGCGCGCGCGCGCGCATACACACACGTACACACACACAAATTCACGTGCGCGAAGAAATCTTATAAAAATTATCAACTCCTTATCTTACCCATTCTGTCATCTTATTCCTCTTTCCTCTACACAAATTTGGATTTATTATATAATGTTGCATGTCAATGCAACAAAAGCATGTCAATTTATATCATACAACACATATTAGAGAATCGCGTATCACATGTATTGTTTGAGATATAAGAGTAGAATTGAACTCACAATCAGTACATAAGTAAAATTATAAAGATCTCTATCACATTAGAAAGCTTAAGTCTTGAAAAATTAATATTTTCTATTTTTGGAACATATTGATAGAGAGAGTATGTTATAATCATTAACTAACATCAATAGCTTACACGAAAAACCAGTGCTGGAACAACATCAGCTAGCAGTACCAGTAGCCTTGAAGGAGAATATGACGCGGACCGTGAGAGAAAGGTATAAAAAATTGTAGCTAATACGTCTGCTACAGTTTATTTTATAATGACACACACACACACATACACACGTATATATAATTACACAGGGTGCTCCCAGGTTAAATGGCAAAATTTAAAATATGAATTTAGGACCTACAAAAATAATTTTCCTCTGCAAGTATGCTCGCAAATACTTTGTTCAAGAGATATTGATATTTAAGTCTAGATATTGACCTTTTAAGTCAGAACTATAGGAATGAATAATATCGTTTTTTTTCTTTTTTTTTTAATTTTTTAGATTGAAGATTATTGACAGGCTTGTGTTTGCACTGTAAAGCTAAAATAGAGGATGCAAGCGTGCAAAGAAAGCACAATGTCAATCAGCTATTCGTTTTCTCATCGATAGGTGCAATGCTTGTCTCCGGGTTGGAGGCCATTATTTTATCAAAATATTTAATAATTAAATTTTGAGTACTGTAAAGCAATAAAAAGGATAAAAGTAAATTATTTCGACATTATTCATTTCTATAGTTCTATAACTTAAGAAATCAATATCTCTTGAACGAAGCGTTTGCGAGCATACTACAGAGGAAAATTTTTTGTTTGTTTTGGAGGCCTACATTCATATTTCAAGTTTGGCCATTTAACCCGGGAGCATCCCTTATATTTATCTAATATTATTTTTTGTATGTGTAATATCGCACACGTTTTGTTTTTTTCAATGCATGTTGCTTTTTTTTTAAATTTGTACTCATAAAAATTCATACGGCTATCAATATAAAGTGTTACTTATCTATTTAGTAATATTAGCAATGCAAGCATGCAGGTAAAAACTTAGAAAATTATTTTGTCGTGTTGATTATTATGTAAATTTATAAATTTTAATGAGACTTGGATAAAGTTACTTTATGGCGGCTATTGTTTAATATGAACGTTATTTAAATGTATATGTAAGTACTATTGTTGTGCAATTATACATATACATATATATATATATATATAATGTTACACATTAAATAAAAATTTTCTATATATGATATACGAGATAAATTTAACATAACAAACCACGACAAATACACATATTTTGAGAAGCTCATATGTTGTGCATAGAGCATGTATTGCATCTTTAAACGTGATTTTTCCTGTAAGTTTTAGTATTATTTTAGCAAAGTAGTGGCTTGATGCATGAAGTAACGTGTGATTGAATAAATTTACTTGTAGAAACCGGTCGGAGGAATAGCTGTCCTACCGCCCGGTAATCTATCAAAGAAGAAGAAGGATAAACAAAATGAAAATGAAAAAGAAAATCACAATGATCTGAATAATACTGATCTGATTAATGACATTGATGACAAATTATTGTCTAAAAAAGAATTGAAAAAGAAGGATAAAGAAACGCCCCAAAAAATTAGAGAAAAAAAGGAAAAAGTTAAGGTAAGCTTATATTGTGTTGTACGCATATCGCTGTTTTTCTATATTTTTATAGAATATATATACATGATTAGACAAAAGACTTTTAAATATTTAATTTTAGTTTTTATTTTTTAATTTTTCAAGTAATATTCAGAGATATAGAGTTTATTATTTTTTACTATTATTTTTAAATATTATTCAATTAAATGTTTAGCATCAATTTTCAATAATGTTAAAAAATGTTTAATTGAAAACGTGTAATTAGTTTTCAATTGAATGTACATATGTTTATATAGTTTAAATTATAATTTAAATATGCACGCGAACATTAATTTCTACTTCTGCATAAATAATAAATTTGCATTTAATATGTAGATATCAGTTTCGATTAAATGTGAAACATATTTTTTATATAAATTATACATTACATGTATAGCATGTTTTTGTACTGCATGTATTTTTATATATTGTCTAAGAGTCCTGTCGGCGGTTTCCTGTTTGCGAAAAAGGATAAAGATAAGAAACAGAAAAAGGGCAAAGAACTCGATGAATCTATAGACAAGAGTGATGTTGAATCGAATCTTTCCATGTTGGAAAAGCAAGAAAAAGAGATCGATAAAGAAACAGATATGGAAAAAAAACAGCATCCTACAAAATCTTCTCAATTACCTGGTTACACGAAACCTTACGATTATGAAGAAACGGAAGCTTCGCCAACAAAAAAGCCATTTACCTCGCACGGTTTTACGTACGAAGATCGACCCGCATCGCCAGGAATACAAGATCACTCATCACCTACTTCAGCTAGTCGGAAAGCTACAGGATTGGCATTTAACTATGCTCCGGGAGAAGAGAAAAAGGTAGCAGAATCTGCAGAAAAGAGAAAAACGAAAGAAGCGGACAAGCAAGCATCAGGGTTAAAGACACCCGGGCTCAATTATGTAGAGTCTGCTGCCCTTAAGGAGCAACAAAAGAATGTTACAAAAGACACTGATAAGGATCAAACAGCGATTTTCATTGCTGGTGAATGTCAACATGAAGATAGTACCAATCAAGCTGCAATAGTGCCGCCAATATCAGCAGAATTTAAACCAGACTATCACATTTTGCCTCTTCCCGATGGTTCGAGAATCATCGGAGGTATGATTTATACCAAAGAGGGTAAACTATTAGATCAGAGTAATCTTGGACCATATGATAGCAAAATAATAGACGGTAAAGTTTGCGGGAAAGATGATAAGCTGCTAAAAAAAGCCGATTTCGGGCCACACGGAGTTCACATTAGCAACGGTATAATTACCGGGAAAGATAACAAACCTTTCTATCAAGAAATATTAGGTACAGATAGAAATTTAATAAAGAATGGTATTATTTATTCTCCCAATGGTGAAGCAGTAAAACAATCTTTCCTCGGGCCGAATCACGCAATAGTAAAAGAGGGAAAAATACTCTTGAAGAATGGCAAACCAGTTGAACACTGTCAATTAGGTACAGATGGAACATATGTGAAAGAAGGTCTCATCTTTACATCTAATTCCAAACCTATGACTCAGGGATCGTATGATACAGATGGAAAGTACATAGTTGCCGGTATAGTATGTAATGAAGAAGGCAAACCTTTGATGCAAATTGCAATTGTACCTGACAACACATTTATCTGCGATGGTTTAATTCATGGACGAGACGGAAAATTGCTTAATGCCGGGAAATTAGGTGTGGAAGGCCATACTGTTATAGAGGGAAAAACTTACTCGAAAGACAATAAATTGATCAAGCATGAATCTTTTAGTTCTGACGGATCTATCATAAAAGATGGCATAATTTACTCGAAAGATGGAAAATTCTTGACTCAAGGATCTTTGCTACCGAGCGGTGCTCACTTAAAGGATGGAAAAGTGGTTGGTAAAGATGGGAAACCTATTAAGCACGCGTTTTACAAATCGAATGGTAGTTTCGTGAAAGACGGTATGATATACGCAGAGAATGGCAGACTCTTGAATCAAATTCCATTGATAACTGATGGTCATTTTATCAAAGAGGGATTAGTGTATGGTAGAAATAACAAACCACTATCCCAAGGTCTTTTTAAGCCCGATGATCTTATAATTAAAGAAGGTATATTGTACAATGCGGACAATACAATAATGTCAAATATTAATCTCGGCCCTGAAGGATTGATAGTGAAGGATGGCACCGTTCTAGGCAAAGATGGTAAGCCAGCAAAACAGGAATCGTTTGGTTCGAATGGAAGCTATATAAAGAAAGGTATTATTTATGCGAAAAACGGAAAGCCACTTAATCAAGATTCATTAGTATCCGAAGGTGCAGCTATTAGGGATGGTAAGATATATAATATGGATGGCAAATTAGTAAAGTTCTCATTTTTCAAACCGGATGGCAGTTACATCAAAGATGGTCTTATTTATGGCAATGACAAAAAACCATTAAACTTGAATGCAGTTTTGCCAGAGGACAGCTTTATCGTTAACGGAGTAATATTCAATCATTCGGGAAAACCTTTGAATAGAGAATCATTTGGATCTGACGGCTCATACATAGCGGGAGGATTGGTTCACGGAAAAGACGGTAGGATCGTGTTACAAGGCGTGTTTGGTCCTGACGGTAACACAATTCGAAACGGTATTATCATAGGTAGAGACAATAAACCTTTGACACAAGACGATAAAGGTCCAGACAATATAGCGATTAACAACGGAAAAATTGTGGATAACCACGGAAATCCGAAGAATTTACCCTCGCTGATACCTGACGGATGTTATATACAAGACGGAGTAGTCTATGACAAAAACGGACAATTGTTGAGACAAGGTGCGTTCAAGCCGGATGGATGTTATATTCGAGATGGTCTCGTATATGGCTGGGGAGGCCAATTGCTGAATGCAGGATCTGAGTTACCTAATGATAGCTACATCGAAGAAGGTAAAATATACGGCAAAGATGGAAAACCCTTGAATCATATTTCGTTCGGTATCGAAGGTAGTTTCATCGAAAACGGCGTTATTTATGGAAAGAACAGAAAACTACTCAGTCACGGTACGTTTGGCAATGATGGTAGTTATATAAAAAACGGTTTACTATATGGGCCAAATGGAAAGCCGTTAAACAGAAGACGGACTATAATTACTGTCACATCCGTTCGTTACGGCTTAGTATGCGACGATGATGGGAAACCACTCAAATCGGGCAATTTTGATAATGACGGTAACGTAATCAAAAACGGCAGGATTTACGATCACACAGGAGGATACTTAAATCAAAATATTTACGGTCATGATGGTAACTTCATTAAAGATGGTTTAATTTACGGACGTAATGGAAAGCCTCTTTCTCAGGGAGCCTTGCCACCAGAAAGCAGTTTTATAAAGAACGGCAAGGTTCTCGACGCGAACGGTCAGCCGCTAACTCAGGAAGCATTCGGATCAGAAGGTCTGAAAATTGTACAAGGAGTCGTGGTAGATAAAACTGGTAAACCGGTGAAACAAGCAAATTTCGATGACGAAGGAAACATTGTCAAAGATGGAATAATTTGCACGCCTACCGGAAAACCACTCGACAAATATTTTATAACTATCACGATGGTGCATAAAGGACTCGTATGTGATAAGAATGAAAAGCCGATCGTACGAGCACCTTTCGGAACCGATGGTGGTTTCGTTAAAGACGGCAAAATACATGACAAGTTCGGAAAACTGTATAATCAGGAACTCTTTTCTGAGGATGGATCGTACGTGAAGGACGGTGTGATATATGGAAACAATAACCAACCGATGGATAGCACGACGATTCTGAAAGATTTACAAGAGCCACTAAAGTCTATTTCCGCGAAATTGAAAAAGTCTGCAATTTCGACTACGACACCGACAATCGTGAAAACGACAACTAAACAATCGGTAGTCAAGGATCAGGAAGGTGTGACGCAAAATATTCAAGAAAAAATCGAGGATCTTACACCAGGTGGCACAGGCCAAGTTACAGTATCTACTCACGTCAACAAGGTGATATGCTTGAAAAAAATAAAACTAGATTAAATATTATAATTCACCTTTTCAAGTCGAAAATCTAATATAATATCAGACATAATTTTGACAAACATAAGACTTGCATGTCTATAATTACATATAGTAATTTTTGCCGTTAGCCAATGCTATATAGAATACCTCTTTTTTTCATTTATGTTCCAAATGTATTGCATGAAATTTAATGATACATCTGTTTTGAATGAATGTGTAGTTAAAATCTTCAAAATTTGATAATAATTGTTTAAATGGAATGGATACTTTTGAATTCGCAAAAAAGTGTTTGCGATAAATGGTTTACAATAAATTATTACAATAAATTACGACAAATATAAATGAATTCACTGTTTAGTATTAATTTCAATTTTTTTGCAACTTTAAATATCTCATATTTTTTTGTAAATTCATGTAGAAACTAGTACTAAACAGTAAATTTATTTATATTTGTTGAGTAATTTGACGCAAGCGATTTATCGCACCCATTTTTTTGCAGATTTAGAGATATCTACTTTCTTTAATAAAGAAAGTATATAGTATATATATAGTAAATATTTTTTCACGAAGAACTTAAATTGTTTTGTAAACGTTGCAGCAGCTATTATCTTTGTATAATTTTATACGAATACAATCATTTTGTATAAACTTGCTTTACAATTGACCTTGTGCTTTACAAAACATGATTTAACACTTGCATAAAGATTACATTCTTACATACTTACTGGTTACCTTCCTCATACTTACATTTTTTAATAATTGTTTATCATTAGTTGTATGTTTTGAGATCTTAGTCACATCGTAGTTATATTTAGGCAGAGGCATCGGATGATGGTAGAACTCCATATATGACAGCAACAGCGGTCACTACACGTACTGCCCTGATGCATGAAGATCTTGAAAAGAATCAAAAAACAAGTCAGGTTTGTAATTAGTATTATTAGTGCCATTATATGTAGGATATTAATTAATGAGAATTTACATATTTGAAGTTTGTGCTGCATTTGCATGTGTGCATGTGTGTACGTACACACACATATGTATATATATATATATACATATTAATTTAAAACATATTTTAGAAAATTAAAAAACAAGATTTGTGTACGTACACACTCACACAATAGAAATAAATTTTGTTGTAGTGTAAAAGTTATTTTTATATCTTTTATATATGTATATTTTTTAAATTTTATTTTTGCCTAAGTATTATTATTTGCTACTTGCTATAATTTACTTTTCATATTAGGTAGAGGAAAAGACTGTAGCACATACAACTGCGACCAGTGCAACGAGGCAAGAGCAACGAGTAGTAACGCAAGAAGTTCGAACCACGAGTCACGTGCTTTCTGGCGAACAGGTAATTTCTGGATATTTCTTTTTCAGGTTACGCGCTTGAAATTAATAAGTGAAGCATGTAAGCGTTTTTGTAAATTGCTACATGGATATTTTTTGGATTTTGATTTAACTATCATTTAAGTTTTTATCATTTCATGTAACATTGTGCTGTATATACATATGATCATAGCACAAATATAAGATTGCTTCACATATACACAATATTTACTTGTGTCACATATTTAATATTTAATTCTAACTATTCTGAATATTTTTTTAAAATTGCATTATTTTAACACTTTATTAGATGCATAAATTATAAAAGTCATATAAAATATCGTTAATATTTTATAAATTAATTATAAACAATATAATTCCTGATTTAACAATAATTCAATTAACAACACATTTAGTCATATTCATATTTTTATAATTATTTATTTTTATTTATTTTTGTTACAAATAAAATTTGTGTGGCTTGGTTAACACGTTGCATGGCGTAGCTGTTCTTACGAAGATTAAGTACATCGAGTTCAAGCAGCGGAGATTCAGGCACACCGATTGATCTTGATGATGACCAACAGGCTTTCTACAATCAATATTATCAGGTAATCAAATAATAGTCGGATCAAATAATTAAATCAGTTTCCTCTATTAATATATGGAGCAGAAGATTGTGCATATTTAAGAGCAGCAGGATTACAGGTATTCATAAACACGAAATATTTTGGTCTAGTTTGTTTTAGCAGCTAACCCAATGCAGTGCATTGCATTAAGGTATTTTTGCTTTGTATCTTTGTATTGTATAATGTTTAAAGAAATGTAATTTATGTCTTATTTTTTTATACGCAGAGACAGAACATTAATTTTATATTGTGATTTCTGCTATTTTCAAAAATAATATATTTTTTGTTTTAACGGATTTTCAAATAAAAGATCTGTAAATAAATTTTGATCCAGGGAGATCCAGCTGTTATTGCAACTGAGAAGCATGTTTATACGGGAGAACCAGAGAGTAATGTGACGACGACGACGACGGTACCCGTAGTGACAACCGAAGCAAGAAAAGTAGCTCTCGAGAGTGAAGATGGTAACTATAGCGCAACAGGAGAAATAGTCAGTACACAGACTATATCCAGTAAAACCCGTACTGTTGAAACTATCACGGTTTGTATATTATTCTACTAATATGTTATTTATATCAATATATGATTATATATTTTGTTATTAATTGCTGGTTACAGTATAAAACGGAGAAAGATGGCGTAGTTGAGACACGAGTGGAACAGAAGATAACGATACAATCGGATGGTGATCCGATTGATCACGATCGAGCTTTAGCAGAGGCAATACAAGAAGCCACCGCTATGAATCCGGATATGACAGTAGAAAAGATCGAAATACAGCAACAAACAGCACAGTAATTATTTGAAAATTAATCGTCACATACATATAAAAGGGCACTCTTGGTCTATAAATAGCACGAACGATTCGTTAATTTAGAGACTAGGAAAATATATTGGTATTTATAATACATATGCACGCATTGCTGGTTGCATCATGAAAAGAAAAAAAAAAAACTAGACTGAAGTATGCTACCAAAAACGTCGCGATAAATCTTTAAATATTCTATGAAGTTAATATAAAATAAAGCAAGGAACAATATTAAGCTTTATATCTTCTTTCCTTCAGAAGGTCAAAGAAGACTTCTGCTTGTGGCTTGCCCAATGACTCGAGCTTAAACCCAATATAAAATCGAGTTTGATAGTTGGAAATAATGAAACATTAATGAAATTTTTTTATTGAAGAGAATGATATCTCGTATTATAAACTGTACGGTGTTCATATTGAAATGATTAAGAAAATATATTTATATGCACGAGAGTATAAATAATATATATATATATATATATATATAATATATACATAGCTATGTATATGTATGTAAACAAATGGATAAGCTATTTATACATAGTTATGGCGATAATTATAGGTATAAAAGACAGGGTGCCCTGCAACTTAAAGTTTTGATAATGAGCATTTCATAACAGTAAAAAGAGAAATTATTACACATAACGATACAGATAATAATCTATACACGATGCAACAATATTGAAAATTTTACAGTAAAGTAAATATTGAAACATTTTAAATTGAATTAATATGTCATAATTTTTGTAATCAACCAAACCTATTAAAAGCATGTTTCCCTCTATCTGAAGTTTCTGTCCTCTAATTATAAACTTATTACTTTCTCCTGTTCATCTTGTAATACTAACCCTACTATATATTAGTAATGTCTAAATGCAATAAGATAAGCTTTTTAAAAAAATATATGTATAGTTTGACTATGAAATTCATATTGGCTTTCCAAAAAAAAAAAAAAAAAAAAAAATATGTGGAGTTTATTACATAAATAAATACACACACGTATTATATCACATTTCACACATAGAGGATAAATTATTAGAAATTGTCATTAAATGTCGTATAAAAAAAAAAATGACAAAAACATATATTGTTTAGTTTTGAAAGAGACATTCTATAGTAAACACAATTTTGTCCTAACAATAAGTGGTACCACTTCCGAAATTACAGAATTATCTCTGTTTTTTAAATAAATCATATGTTTTTTTTTTTACATAAGTTCATTTTCTTCATCATTCCACCTCTAAAAATATGAAGATTAAAAATCTATGAGATATATTTCCTAATTTATTTTGATATGTTGTGACAAAATGTATATCTTGTAAAATATTCATTTTTTCTAAAGACTTTATTTTAATACTTTTATACATTAAATAATAAGCTAAATTGATCGATATTAAAAATGTATATTTGCATTTAAGAAATGATATGCAATTGCATCTTGCAAATGCAATGTTGCATTTATAGAAATATAAAGATATCAATTATTTTACTCAATTTATAAGATATCTTGTAACTTATATCACAATATATCACAATAAATCATAAAATATCTCATAAACTCTAGATTTTTTTATGATTCTATGTTAATATTTTTATATGCAGAATGATGGAGAGACTCGATTTATGTAAGAAAAAGCACATAATTCTATTTATAAGAAAACAAATGTGACTTTGAAGCATTGAATGCGAAAACTTATGTATTTGGAACAAAATCGTGTCGATTGCAGGATGTTTGTCTCGAAATAAAGTAATTTTTATTTGAAACAATTTTTTTATGAAATATATATCTTAAGATTTATTAGAAGTAGCATCTTTTAATGTATGTAATTCAACCTGTATATAATATTGCTAATTGACAGAAATATTTGGAATTGTCAGTTTTTTATATGAGATAGAGTAAAAAATAAACCGAACTTTGCATATTGTTTTGTAATAATAAATGTTTAAATAAATAAATAAATGTGACTTGTTCGCATGCATACAAGATGTTAGTAGACATATTGAGAAAAGGTTACTAAACGGCAGTCAGTACAACTGTCAAAAGTACTATCGCACTTTATAAAACACTGTTACCGACAGCAATCGAATTTCAAAGATGCATCGTGAGCAGCGCAAATAAACATTAAATTGTATATGAAACTTGAGAAAATATTTATTGTAACTGACCATGAGACCCTTAATTTGCTATATGAAGCATATGATGATGAAATGTCACGCGTACACAGATTTATGAGTTGCATAAACGCTTCGAAAAAGGCCGTATATACATCAACGAATAATGATTCTTTTTGTACTTCCGCTATCTTTATACTTTCCGGATCTCGCTCTTGCTGATTTTTATCTCTTTCTTCAATTAAAAGATTTGACGAAGAATCGCCGGTTTGAATCAATAGAAGAGGCGAACAAGTTTTGCAACGCGAGCTCTGAAGAAAATTGCTAAGAATACTTTGCAGGACTGTTTTGATAAGTGGTATGGACGGCAAAAGTATCGTTGCTGAAGGTGCTTACACATCTTGAACGTGGTATATTGTAAAAACTTGCATTATTTATTTAATAAAAGTTTAAATAAAAGTTTGGTTTATTTTTGACTCTACCTCGTATGTATGTATAAAATGTTAATTATTATATTATAGGAAAATTCCAGAATTTATGTTGGCAATAATATTGTATCGTTTTTCATGTTGCAGCTATATAATAAATATGAGATATAATATTAAAACTATGTAGATTTCACTATATCTTGATTACTATATACTGACTAATACGATTAATAAAATAATTAAATTAAAATAATTAGTTAATTTATTTTATATATACCATATTTTACAAAGATGGTTTATATTTTTGTTTTTTAATCTTTTAGAGTAAAATATCTTTTCCTTTCTATTTATGCTGGTATCATTTAAAATGGAATGTTGAAAGGAAAATACTTGAAATTCTTTGCTCTGAAACACAGAAATAAAAAAAAGTTATTACAGAAACAGGAAAATATTAAACTGTAGACAATTTATGATAAGTCACAGTTCAGATTTTTTACTATTCTTGAACGTGCAATACTTAAAGAATAAGAATGCTATTTTTAATTGAAATATTGACTGAAAAATTTTGACTTGAATAAATTTTGATTAAATACTTGCATTTATGGAAAGAGATAAATAATAAACCATCTATATGTATATTATAATACTTACTTAGCGAAATCTACTACTCTCTCTCCAGTGCCGAGTTTTCGGATAGCGTTCATTTCATCGGATGTCAATGTAAAATCAAAAATTTCTATATTTTCTTTGATTCGACTTTTAGTTATAGATTTTGGTATTGGTGCAACTTCTTTTTGAAACTATAAAAATAATAAAATAAGACATACGTTTCGAATTTATTAATTACAATACGATTTTATCGACTTTTCTCTATTATATACCACATATCGAAGCGCTATTTGTGCCGGAGTCTTATTGTGTTTTTTTGCGATGTTCAGCATCACAGAACTATCTAATTTGTTTTCAATACCTAATGCATTCCCGGGGTGTCCTAAAGGACAATAACCAGTTACCGTAATGTTGCGTTTCTTGCAAATGTCTACTAATTTCTCTTGATTTAGGTTTATATTAACTTCAATCTATAACCAAATTTTTTTGACATTAAAATAAAATATCTTAAGTATTATAAGATATGAAATATATGCAGGATGTCCCAGAATTATCGCACCACTTGCTAATGACAAATTCTTGAAACCATTTGGAGACGATTTTTCCTGAACGAAAATGCCGAGAGAAGTCATTATTTTTTGCAAGTTTCCAATTTTTTCCATCATATATCTTTGTAACTAACAAGTTTTAAATTAAAATTCTCTTTTTTTATTAAAATAAATTTTATTTGAAATTAATTAAAGAATGTAGTTTTAATTCTCTATAAAATTTAGTTTGCAAAAAGCCCTTCTTCTTGAATCGCTTATAATGCGGAAATTATTGATGCTCGATATTTTCGCTGAGGAAAAAGCGTCTCCAAATGATCCAAAGAATCTATCATTAGCAGGTGATGCGGTAATTCTGGGACACCCTGTATATAATAAATACAATATTAATATAATAAATATTCTCTCTATAAAATAATATATATTAATGCTGTCTTATTATATATAAGCATGAGAAATACGTTTTAGAAACATAAAAGAATTGAAAAAGTGATTTATCGACGAAAAAAATCAAAGTAAATTTGTACCACCGTATAAGTTCGATTATTCATGCACTATTATTTTCGACATATCTCATTGTTAATAAGATTAAGAGTTCGATAATCTTTTGTGGTTCTTTAAGTGATTATCAAAACTAATATTTTCTTCATGTAATTAGAATTTTTACACGGTCATTTTATTATTTATATTATAAGATTGAAAAATGTAAAACTGATAGAAAATAGAAAATTTTATGAACCTGATTATTAACCGGCGCGATTTTAGCCGATTCAAGTAGACGGCTTATCTGTTCGGAATTAAAGTTACTGATCCCGATGCTACGAGTTAACCCTTGGTGAACGCATTCTTCCATTCCTCTCCACGTTTCCACGTAATCGACATCCGATTCGATCAAATTTCCACTCTTATCCTGCGGTATCAAATTATCCCCTTCCTAAAATAACATAATATTTCTCAGATAAATATTGCAAATACTTACTGAAAAATTACAACAGCATGGTCTCCGCTTTACTTATATGTTATTAGAATTCGCGCATCTTTTTTTAAAATCTTGGTTTTAATAAATTTGTATTTTTATTATTAAATAACTACACAACTATTTTCGCGTCTTGGATAAATCGCTATTATTTAATTTTTAAGAAAGCTTTATAGTCAAAAAGCTTAATTATACAGTTCTTTTTAGCTGTCTCATTTTTCGTGTTAATACTTACCTTGAGAGCAAATGGCCAATGAACTAAATAGAGATCTAAATATTTTAAACCAAGATTGGCCAATGATTTTTCACAGGCCGGAACAACGTGCTCTTCTTTGTGGCAATTATTCCACAGCTAAGAAAAAAACAAAATAATATAAATGTTAATTAAATTTATCAAGCAAAATGCTTTAGTTAATTTAAATGTTTATATTTATTGAAATTTAAAAAGATGGTTTAAATTTATAGAGTGGATGGTAAAAAAACATTAAAGATTTTAAATAAATGTGTTTAAGTCATATATTTAATCGTACATTGACCTTACCTTTGTGGTAATAAATAGATCTTCCCTGGTTACACAACCGTCTTCGATTTTTTCGCGGATAGCTTCCCCGATCTCTTTCTCGTTACCGTAAAAAAAAGCCGTATCAATATGCCGATATCCGAGATCTATTGCTTCCTTAACAGCTCTTGCTGCATCCTTATTCTTGGACTGTTTGTTAAAAAAAGAAAATATAATTATATCTATGTTTAATCAAAAACAATGTTTGTAAAGAATCGTTTCCTTTAAAGATTTATTATTCCGTGCAAAGATTTCTCACAGTAGAGAACATCTTAGTTTCCAAATTTTATTGTACATTTACTTAAATTTCGAATGTATGCAAATGACTGATTCTTTATGGTTTATGTTTATGGCATAATTCTTACGTGCAATCTCTTACCACTGTCATATGCATAATGTTACGAAAGATTTACCTTGGCAGTTCCGAGGCCCAACATCGGCATTTTATGTCCATTGGAGAACGCGACTGTTGGAACATTAGCCATTATGATCATCAGCACAAACGACCTGGAATAGGAATAACAAAATCGTCGATAAAAATAAGTACCACGATCTACGACACAAAGAATCTCCTGCTTCTTTTATTACAGAAAGACTTACATGCTATTAAATATAACACTTGATATTGTAGATGAGCGGTATACGATTATGTCTAAAAATAATGTATATATGTAAGTAACTTTTGTGTAATAATAACATGTTTCTTCTGTTTTTCGTTTTATTTTGCAAGTCTACTGGAGGTTGATTTCTGAATAGCCCTCGTAATAATTAATTTAGTTTTTGTTTATGATTAAGCATTAAGCAGTTTGTTTATGATTTTAGAACTCTTTGTTAATAAAAAGTTGATTATCATAATTAATTATGTGCATCATATTAAATTAATTATTAATTTAAAAAAAGGAATGTAGGAGATATGGTGCTATTTATTAAATGAATATTTTAATCAGCAATTTAAATCGATGCTTACAATTAGTGAAAAAAATAGACGTTAATATTGTGCCAGTAAATGTAATCTTTGATGTTTTATCGTAGACGTCAAACAAAACATAAATTATCAGAAATATATATTTCCATAATAATAATATATTACTAATTGTAAATGTATTTTTATAATAATTTTCCTGGTTCCTAGAAAAGATTGATGATTGCTGAGAATTCTTTAAGTCGTAGAAATAAAATTAATATCCTATTGTTTATAACACTAATCATATCTACTCACATTTCTTAACTGTATTAATCTACGCTGTAGGTGTGTTGCAGCGACTGTTTCTCATAATTCACATTCGTGCTATTTATGGATAGCTGTTATCGTAAGCACATAATTAGAATATACAATCTCATTTTTTATCTATCAACCTACAATCACGTTTTTTATCAATTGATCGCAAATAAAAAATTACACAAATATAAAATTGCACTGAATAAATGTGTGATAACGATATATATTATTTGCTAGTGCACAATAAATATATATGTATCTTTGGCAGATTAGATAATGCCTATAAATAGACATGCATTGTAAAGTACAATAACATTATAGGAATCAAATGAATTAAAAAATAAAATATTTTTTAACATCATATAAAATTTTTATTTGAGCAAATAAAAATAAATAATAATTTATAATAGATAGTTTATAAATTACTTACTGCATATCGTTGCTTCGTTCATCGCCCGATGCTTTTCCAAATCTTCTTTCCTTTCTTCCTTTGCTGTTTCCTCGTGGCACTTACACGCGAAACTACAATTAATTATGGTTAGTCATATACGCAACGATCGCGAAACATTTTACAAGGCACTCCCGATCGCGGGGGGAGTAATCACACGAGATACACATTTTATTATATTATAAAAGAGCAACACGGAAAGTACGATTCGCTCGACACACACGATGCCAAATCATATGCCACTTGTTATATAGCAATGCTGTTTCTATTGTTGATATAAACATCCCGTTCCCACCTGGCGCGTGGATCTTTTTCTCCGTTTTCCCGTTTTTGTCAACGACCATTCCGCATCTCCCGTTTGGCGAATTAGCTCCTGTTCGTCGCCGCAATTTACACCCGTGCGACGGAGAGAACGAGTCGGCGGCCGCGTTTATCGCTCAGTCGCGAGACGGTAGGAAAAGTCGTCGCAAGTAATAATTAATATATACTCACAGTTTAAGAAAATTTAAAGTATTGAACAAAATATATTTGATTCTAAGCATTGTTAGAGAAATAATTATTATCCTAAAAATCGATTATCGAAGGATCGCAACGAAACGATGATTTATAATTATTATCCTACCGCTTCGATTTTTATTAGCAATAATAAATAATAGGACGGAATACGCGCTTCGATGAAAGTTTATCATTTGTGATATAGTTTTATGTTATTTTTCAAAGTTAATTAATTGATAATTATAATAATCATAGCGAATTATGTTTCGATATTTGTCGCGATCGCGTTTAGGAAAAGGATTCGATAATATTTGAAGATTTTGAATAGCAAAATAGTGGTGCTATATATATACAGGGTGCTAAATTTCAAATGTAACAAGCCGAATATCTCGATAATTAAATAAAATATCGAAGTCCGTTTTTTTTAGGTTGTATTGTTTCGATCCGGACAAATTTTGATAAAAAAAAATTTGACTTTGGATGGACACGTAAAAAAAAATCGGATTTCGATATTTCATTCAGTTATCAAGAAATTCGGCCTGATATGTTTAAAATTTAGCACCCTGTATATTAATGAAATAAAATATTTTAGCAACGAATTAAATTCAATAACGTCTTAAAGCGCGTATTTCACGCGTGATGTATACACTTATAATCAAGAATTGACAGGTATTAAAATTGTAAATTATTGTTTTGTTGCGATCTTTCTTTCTCTTTATAAGTAATAATTATTTCTTTAAAAATACTTAAAGTTCGATTATATTTCGTCCGATGCTTTATCGTTTGAAATTCGACGATTTAAATATGATTCGGATTTAGAACGCGCAATAAAATCTTCGGAATAATGCATTATTAACGAAAATAGTCGAATCGCAAATAGTCGTTCAAAAATAGTCGAATCGCAAGTCCGATTAACATAACGATAAGCTCCGTGATATAATCGTTATTAATTGTTTCGATTAATCATTTATTAAATAATTAATCTATAATTTAAAATATTTTATAATTTAATATTTCGCTTGTATATATGTACATCATAATATGCAAAATAATTTCGGCTGCGAATTATCAACAACATGGTATGCGGCCTTGACGGCGTAAACAATAGCGCGCTATTGTGTACGTGTTACGGCTTTGTTATTATTCGCACGGCGATACTTGAATAGTATTGTACTATAGTGGGGGAGAGACGTTCTATTGAATTCCTTTCTCACTCCCACTTCTTATTTCTTATCATTCGCACGGCGACATTTGAACAGTGATATAGTAGTTCGAGACGCTCCGTCAAATTCTTTTTCTAAACGCGATCGCGATAAATATGGGGGAATAATTTGATATAATTAATAATTAATTCTCTCTCTCTCTCTCTTTCTCTCTAAGCAACAATTATTTCTTGAAAAAGACTTAAAATTAAATATATTTCGTCCGATGTTTTTTCGTTCGACTTTTCGACGATCTAAATACGCGTTTTCGCGTCGTCGCGTCTTCGCGTTGGACCTCTATCCCGTTTATATGATTGTAATCGAGGATCATACTTCGTTGCCGGCTAAATGGGATATCTCTCAGCGTTGCAATCTTTAATATATTAATACCTATTAATATAATTAATTTTATATTAATATCAATTAATATTAATACTATATTAATATTATATATTATATAAATATTTATGTATTAATAAATTTAATATATTAATGTAGG